TTTGACCATCTCCCATGTCTTGAATATGATCTTCCCAAAGTCTGCTTCCCCGGTCCTTTGTCGGTGCACATACACATACTTCACACACCCCTCTCCATATTCACTATACACCACTGAAAGAGAGCATTGACTATAAAACCTAGCTCTAGGATTTCTTCACTAGAATCATATATATATATATATAGTGTATTTTGAAATTATACGTAATGTTATTTTATGCTGTTACTAAGAACATGTAGCCAGCAACCAAACCAGCCCTTTAATTTGGGAGGGGGTAACTGACAGTATACTTTATTGATTTGATATTATTTTTTTCGATTCTCCTTATCACAGTCATAACAGGTGAATATATATATATATATAACAAAGTTATAAATTTAATATTTTGAGGGCAAATTAGCACAATGATATTATAAAATATATATATTTGCACACTAAAATATTAAATAAAATTTGAAACATAAATTTTGCACTAATGTATGTCATAGTAAAAATAACTACTTTACCTACTAAAATATTTGAATATTTCTTTCCAAATGAAATTCGAGCCATTGAAGAAGGTCATATACAATGACCTTTCTTCTTCATTTTTTTCTGCAAATCTTTGTCTTGCAGCTACATCAGGTACAAAGGGTTCTGCATCTGCTCTTAATCTTCTCATACTTCTTTTTGATTTTATAAATATAAATATATATATAAGAATTTATATATAATATGAGACTAGAGTATGTATGTATATTTGAGTGATTAATTATATAAGATTTATTGTGCAATAGTAGTTGCAAGAAATGTTGCATTGATACAATCTGCAGAAGTGATATATATATATATATATTGACATGGAAATTTTGAATTTTGAATTTAAATCTTGATGGCGGATTAATGCATGTAGTGATCTTGGATAGTTGCATTTTCGGCCTACCACTTAGACCGCGTCCTTTTATGTCGATAAGATGGTACATACTCCTTGCCACGTTCAGCAACCAATTTAAAAGCCGTGTTACAAGTTGGCAAACAAGAATTGTATAATTCCCTAGGTATATGGTGCAGTGAGATTGAGAGAAAAGAAAATGCATATGTGGTTTGCTGAACTCGATCTTAATTCAAAGCATACTAAAAATACCATTTCTTAGCTCAAAAAGATTACCAGCCAATAAGCGCGCAAGACATTCGATCGCAGCATACATTTAGCAAAGTGAGGGCATTTGTATCCCAAGTGATTGAGGATCCGCCATGCTAACTCCTTCACTGAGGATATAGTATTCATATCCTCGAATAGGTCTCTAGGTGCATCACTGCTTTGTGGATTTTGTAGCAGAAAATTTTACATTTAGAATTCAATCATTGATTTAAATCCTAAATTATGCGCTTACCTTGCATTATTGGAATTATCCATGAAAATCTGTGTAAGAATTGTGCAAAAAATAGTAAAATAAAATAAAATAGTATGAATGAATGAATTAATCATCCAAAAAACTAAGTAAAACTAAGATCTATTTACTACCAAACTTCTAAAGGGTGATGATTAATCTTTTCTTTGATAAATAGGGAAAGAAACAAAATAGCCCACAAACAATATTCAAACTTGTGATGTATAGAACTTGATGAATTTAATTTGTTTGATTTTATACCTATTTTACATTAGGGCTCTCACTAGAAAATGGAGGCTTGTCCCTCAAGTGCTCCCCATGTATGTCCAAGTAAAAAAGTTGGGAGTATTAAAAAGAATAGGCTAAAAACACATCAAGAAAAATATGCATAGATGCATGGTGATAATTGTGGATACTTTTACAATATAATTTGCAATTTTACTGTGTTGGTTATAGTATTATACTACTATGTGACTAACTATAGTAATTGCATAAGCCCTAACGAATTACAATAAATGCTACTAAACATTCTTGAACCCGACAGGAGTTCCACGAAAAACTGTACAACTAACGACAGTCGTAGCTTGGTTTCATCATTTCTTGGACTATATGTGATATAAAACTAGCAGCATCTGCCTTAATAAGGTATGATAAATGCATACGCAATGTATTTCTAGACAACAACCATGAATAAAGATATATAACTAAGATAGAAAAACCCACGAAAAGAACATCTCACCTGAGCATCTCTAGATTTCAAGTTTCTTGACTTGCTCGGAGCCCTTTTATTCTTCCTAACCCATTCCAACCACTTTTTCTTGACACAATGTAAAGTAGACGCACAGTCTAAACCCCCCACATATTAACAAGCAAAATGAATCTCATAATCAAACACAAAATGCTTTTATTTAGAAGCCTAATCTGCGATGTAGGTTTATACGTTGGATCTTCTTTGTATAACTTTCGAGCCTTTGCAGCTCTGTTATCCTCCTTCTCCTCTCGCAAAATAACTTTATGTTGTTTTTGAAAATCCATCTCAAGTTATATACTTTTTGTAGCGTTCTTTCCTTTTCCTTTCTTGGCTCTGGTAAGTGACAGCTTGTAACAACTGCACGCGAGCAGCAAAAATTGAACTTAGAAAACATGGCACACACCCGATGAAAATTTTTGCATAGTTACTGGTTCGAGCTCCCTTTCTATGTGGATAATAACTCATAATTTTACTGGAAAGCCCATCTTGACTGGGGTGGTGGTTAAGTTTGTGGTAAGCTGAAGCCGGTAAAAATTGCCGGCCAGCTGGGAAATTGTAAACATCCCAAAACAAGGCCCACACCCGAAGATATTTTTGTATAATTGTTGGGTTGAGCTCCCTTTCCATATGGATAAAAATGCATAAATTTATGACAAGGCCAGCATGCTCATCAATTTGAAGCCATGAGGTCTGCTGTTCGAGATATACTAGACCAGGTCTTTTTGCTTATCCTTTTTTTAGGGGGAGGGGGGAATTTTATATTTCTGTTTTTCAATTGCTGCTTGCTTTGGTCATAAATTGTCTGTTGGAGTATTATTATAAGATTTCTTGAAGGTCTTCTGTACATTGTTTGAATGTGGAGGAGCTGTTCTCTTTGGTTTGGACCACCCAAGTTTTATCATTGATTTAAAGGATTCTTGATCATAAGACCATTGTCTCTTGCATTATCAGTGCTCTTTGCAGAATCTTGCAAAACAGGGTTGCGAAATCCTAAAAGAGTTAAATTAGAGCTTGGTTTAGATTATTGGTGTATTGACTTGCTTGAATGATCGAGGAGAATACAAAGAAGCTATTTATCTTAATGGAAGTAATTGTCATTTATGGAAATGATAGTTTAAAGTTCTACCATCTGGGATAAGTATGCATTTCTTGAATTTACTGGGAATTAACTTATCTTTCGATGATTGCCTATAGTAGTTCATTAGCAAACAGAAGTCTTATATATCAACTTGCACACGGTACTCTCCCTATGAAATTTACACATATATCACATATACTTTCGTCCCCAGAGATCATCCGTTACCATTTATGCATGCTTACAAACTTATCACTCTCAATAAAAATTAATCGACTTCACCCATAAACACCTACGCGAGATTGTGAACATTCATTCAAAATTCTCACCTCCATCACCATGCGAACCCATTATGCACTTCAATCGCCACTCACCTTACTTCATCTATACTCTACTTTCCACACTTAAAATTCTTTAGTATACTTTTACTTTTAAATTCAATAAAGTTTCAATAATCTACTTCATAAACTCAAATGCACTTTTATTAAAGTTTTCCCTTGACATGTCTCTTCAATTTATAGCTTATTGGAAGCATGAAAGCCTCTGCTTGGTTTGTACTTTTTTTTTATTTTTTCGGGCTATTTGTGCTGAGTCTATTCCTCCGCCCTTTTCATTTTTGTCTATTTTTGGGTGACATGATTTGTTGTTTATTTTAAATGATCCAACAAGCATAGTATGATGAATTTGATATGTTTATTTTATTGATCAATCCATATATATATATATATAATACAATACACTTCCTATTAAGAGAAGATACACACACAATCATACGCATTTAATTTGATACACTAAGATTATGAGAATCATTGCTATTACATAGGCATTGGACAACTTCTTCTGAGAACTTTTTGACTTCTTGGCAGCAGGAGCCCATAATATCCTCCTACAGGCAGAGTATATATTCTTGCAAGCATTCCACCTTCTGCACCGTCCCACGTAGAATGCAGAGTGGGACAATTGTAAGAACAAGTAAACCCAATGATGTCCAAGAAGGAATTCAATAGGTTATAATATCCTAATTTCTTTTACTATGAAAACCGATGAACAGATATGAACGTGGAGCTGGTATGGGGGTCTTCTTTGAGTGTGCTATTTTGTTTATACTTCTGTGATACTGCACTTCTGCACTCCAAGTTGAATTGGGTAGGTTTTTCTTTTTTGTTGTGTAAGTTTGGAGGGTTAGGAGGATGAATGCATTTTGTGTTAGTAATTTGGCAGCAGTAATTAGGGGCTGGTTGCAGAAGGTAAATAAATTAATGTATAAACAAAAATGCTTAGTTGTTTCTTTTTATCAAGGCAATTTGTATTAATTTGTTAAATGTAACTAAATATATTTTTTTATTTATGATAGTGATAGAAACTGAGATGTTATTTAAAAAGAATTGCAAAAATAGTTAGGATGAAAAAAATTGAAAACATAGTGTCAATTTGTGGAAAATGAGTGTGGAGAAAACCATAGTTTGGCCTACAAAACATATCAATAGTTCAAATCCAGATTCACATAAATGCAACTAAAATGAGTTAAGGACGAAGATTCAATTCAAGAAGCATTGAGAAAATCAAGCTCGAAAAATTCATAGAACTAAGCACAAACATAAACAAATTTTGTGAAAAAGTAATGCCATCGGAGCCAACAACCCAGCTGGATGGCTTCATGCTCTCAAGTCAACCAATTAAAATAGGTCACTTCTCAACTCAGCTGGAGTGATTGCAGGATGACTCTAGCGAATTATCGGCAGTGCCGAGCAAACTTCCCCATTTTATTAAGAGAAGATGATATGGGAAGGGCTACATTGTATTTGTAACATGATCACCAATTCACTATTCATTATTGTCAATAGCTATATTATACACTTTAAACAAATTATTATATAAGAACTTTCATTTATTTTTATTTATTAAATTAATTATTCATAATTACTATATTACCCAACTCGTTGCTTTATATGTTTTCTATAGTCTTTTGTTGACATGAAATTGATACAATACCCAATTAGGATAGAGATCCATCACCACCTTTTCATTGCATTTATTAATGTGCAGTAGGATGAGAGAGAAATAAAATGACCAACTCGCACCAGTTTATCTTCCAGAAACCCCAATATCATTGAGAGTGAGAGCTGCACTCCAATTAATATGGGTTCGGCGTTGAAGCTTTTCCCTTAACTTTCTTCTTCAAAATCTTCACAACAGTTCTGGGAAGCTTCAAATTTCCGTCGGCAGAAAACTTCCGAAGAGGTGAATGCATCATGTTGCATTGTTCACCACAGAACCATTCATCCTCGGGCAATGACTGCAGTTTGTATGAAACCATTAAAAAGAATCAGTAAGTTGCTAGTAAACTAAAAACAATCAGTTTTAACGAAGCAAACCTTTAAATCATCCATCCTTTTCTCTGTCAAACATCCGACCTGAAATTCTCTTTCAAACTGCAAAAAAACAAAGCCATTGTCATCATGCTAGTGCAATGTTTGGATTTTAAAAATAAATTGAAAATAGAATGAATCGATTCGCATCAATTTTATAGTATCAAGAACTTATATTTATAAAGAATATTATAAAAAATTAAGCTTCATGTAGGTTGTAACTTTTTGGATACTATGAATAACACTTGAAAGAAAAGAACCAAATACAGATTTTATTTTGTAGAAAATCTTAATACACAAAACAGTAAACAAACACAGACAAAAAATTCTGACTTGTGGCTCAAATTTATATCGCTAACCCTTATTAACAAAAGGAGGCAAAAACAGGGACCATCGAACTCGGTCCAAAGGCACCAAAGACCCTCTATCCTATCCAAAAAACCCTGATCCCTAGTGAAACAACTCAAAAATAGAGAAAATCACACCTAACAAACTCACTAATCTCTCCACAAATATCCACTGAATAATTGCCTCTCGAAAATTTTAAGCAAACGGGGAAGAGAGAACTCTATTGAGAGAGAGATTACAAGTGGCTGCGCAAATCTCGGAACGATGGGCAACCCTAATATAATATATATGAATGAATACACAACTAGAATTACAACCCTAGAATGAACGCATCAGATAGCAGGGGAAAATTGGGTCACGGGTCGGGGTATGCACCAGATATGGGTCAGGGTCGGCCAAAATTCAACAATGGTTTATAAAATAAAAAATAAAATTATATACATGATAATTCTCATCGATAAAAATGAATTGAATTAAATTTGATTGAGTAACTATGACATAAGAGTGCATAAAAAAGCTATCATTATTTTTTTAAATAAAAAAATTATACAATCCACTGTATATTAATAGATTCCAAATATTAAGCTTTCATTTAATTTTTAAAGATATTAAAGAGGTGTTTGAGAAATAACTTTTTTGAGAGTCTTATTTATTGAACATAAAAAAAACTAATTTCAGTGTTTGGTAAATTAGCTTGTTGAAATAACTTATTGATCCCAAAAAATTAATTTTTAAAATTCGTTTCAAAATAGTTGTTTCAATTTTATTTTATTTTGTTTTTTATTTGACCTTCAAATAAATCATTCATTTTACGCATAGTAATATATTAATCATTGTAGTATTTATTAATTTTGTTGATATATATTTTTAGTTAACTTTTAAATTTTCTTTTATAAATTTAATATAATTGAAATTTTATTATTAATTTATTTATATATACTTATTTATTGTTTGTCACATGAATTTTTTAATTACAGATAAATATAAAAGAATAGATTTATTCAAATTATAAATAATAAAAAATTTAATTAAAAATTAATTCAATAAAAAATATATATAATTTTTTTACAAAATATTTAAAAAATAATAAAAACAAAGATTTTAATAAAATTTTCAATAGGTAATAATAAAAATTCTAAAAAATCCTATATAATGAAGAACATTACTAAATATTTTAATAGTGAAATACAAAATGTCATTAATGATCGTTTTGCCTATAAACAACTAATATCAAACACTTTAATAAAAACCGTTAATCGAATCAGCTAGTCAAATCAAGTAATCGAATTAACTAGGCAAACTAACTAATCAAATCCGCTAATAATTATCAACTATCGGCCAATCGTCAAACGATTTCTGAAATATCAGCACACGTTCCATTAAAGCTAAATAAATCTAAACAAATCAATCTTTATTAAATCTGAAATGAATAAAATCATATATACCTGCTGGCATATCATTATTGTCTGGTCGTTGAAGATATTCGTGGAAAAATAGTTACCCTGCAAAAACAAATACATCTGCAAACTTTCTCAGCATTTTGTTTTATTTATTTGCATTTCATTTTAAATGTACAAAAGTGTTTGAATAACATGTCTTTTCAAATGTACCTGCAGGTGAAGCATTTATATATGTCTGTCTTCATAATGATCATCTCTACTACCACTGCTGCTCAGCGTGTTGGCAGTCACCTAGCTTGGAATTAAGATTCACACCAAAAACACGAGGCAAATAGCAAGGAAGAAGAATAGAACAGTAGCAAACTCTGTTTTTGCGTTTTCTGGAATGCAGTCTGTTTCCATTGCCTACTCTTGTGTATGCCAAACCATATTGCACCGTACCTTTCAAGTATTGAAGTACATTTTCACTACCTTCAGATGGCTTTTGGATTGCTCATATAGCGACTAGCGACCCCAAAAGAGTAAGCAAGGTCTGGTCTTGTATAAGTCAAGTATCGAAGACGACCAATGAGTTGGCGATAATTTGTTGCATTTACAGGTGTGCCTTCCTCATTCTTCGATAGGCTAAATTTTTCATCCATCGACCACTTTGTTGGGTTACAGTCCCACATTCCAGCAGTTTGTAGAATCCCATTTGCATACCCGGCTTGACTTATCTCGATGCCTTTCTCACTTTGCCGCAGTTCTACTCCCAAGTAGTATGTCAACATCCCCAAGTCACTCATATCAAACACCTGCTGCATTTTTCCTATGAATCGAGTTACTTGGTCTTCATTTGATCCGATGACAATTAAATCATCCACATATACGCCAACTATCAAAATTGTGTTGGAACGATGAAGCTTATACACTGGTTGCTCTTGTGAACACCTTGTAAAGCCCAAATCTTTAAGTATCTTATCAAGACGTATGTTCCATGCTCGTGGCGCTTTTCGTAATCCATAGAGGTCCTTGTATAGTCGGTATACCATATGCTCCTTCCCTTTAGCAACAAACCATCGGGTTGAGACACGTATTCTTCCTATTGAAGTTCTCCAATTAAGAATGCCAACTTCACATCAAGACGATGGACCAACCATCCTTTCATTGCAGTTATAGCCAATTGCAGCCTTATAATTTCCAACCGGGTCACCGGTGCAAAAACTTCATCAAAATTGCTCCCTCCGTTGAACATATCCGTTTGCGACCAATCGAGCTTTGTGTTTGATGATATTTCCGTCAGCATCTTTCTTAGCTTTAAACACCCATTTCAGTCCAATTGGTTTGTCCCCAGGTGGAGAGTTGTAAGCTTCTAAGTAAGATTCTTTTCAATCGAACTTAATTCCGCTTTCATTGCTTCTTGCCACGTAGGAACACCAGCTGCCTCTGTAAATGTTGTAGGTTCATCACCTACAAATATCAATTCATCGGCATGCTCCGTCTCATTGTAGATATCAATGAGACTTCAAAAGCCTTTAATAGGAGTGTGTTCAAACGTCAAGGGGTCCACATTTTCTACAATATTTTCGCTCGAAGGAGCGAGCTGCTGCAGAATTTCCATCAGCATGCTCAGCAGGAGGTTCGGGCTGATGGTCTCTGTTGGTGTCGCTGGTACTTCTTCTTCCGGGATATGATTGAAAGAATCGTTAACAACAATTTATTTGCATCAGCTTCTTCCGTGTGTGATTGGGCCCAACTCAATTTTTTTTTTCATCGAAAATGACATCATGAGCAACCACAACCTTCAGCTCAAGTGGGTTCATCATTCGGTAGGCTTGAGAACCCGATTCAACACCCAAATAAATCATTGAAGTGTTGCGATTGCTCAGCTTCGGGACGTGATCAGCCAGCTTCTTCACATACCCAATGCACCCAAACACCTTTAGGTGCTCAAGTGTCAGTTTAAATCCTTTTAGACCTTCCTATGGCATCATCCCTTTCACTCCTTTAGTCGGAATACGGTTGAGTATGTAGACAGCATGTCTAACGGCTTCACCCAATATTACATCCGGCACATTCATCATTCGTGATAAAGACCTCGTAACTTCAAGAATGCTTCTGTTATGACTCTCCGCCACACCATTTTGTTGAGGTGAGTAAGGGGTTGTAAGTTGCCTCTGAATTCCTTCCTGCTCACAAAACTCATTAAATTTTTTAGAGGTGAATTCCCCACGATCAATCCGCAATCCTTTCAACTTCATCGATGTGTCTTTCTCAATTTTAACTTTGAATTTCGCAAAATTGGCAAGGGCTTCATCCTTATATTTCAACATAAAAAACCACATGTAAGGACTGAAATCATCGACTATTAACATGAAGTAACGGATACTTGACGCCGTTGAGAGAAATATCAGACCACATAGATCCGCATGAACCAATTCAAGAGGTTTACTTGCCGGCCATTGAGCTTCTTGGGGAACGGATGTCTTGATTGTTTTGCAACAATGCATCCGTCACAAACTTGTGTAGAATGTTGTATAATGGGAACGCCACGAACCAATTCATTTCGAACCATCCACTTGATTGTAAAAAAATTCACATGATCCGATCGAGCCTGCCACATCGATGCTTTGTTATCAAGATTCGCCATTAGACAAACAGGTTAAGTAGTCTCGACTGCAATCTTATACCATCGATTTCTCGATCGTTCCACCATCATAATTAGGCGACCAACCTCATCATGAATCTTTGAAAAGTCGTTCAGCGTTGTGTCATGTTATTTCTAGGAACCAACAGGGATTCTCTGTTGGGTATGATAGATAGTGGAAGAACTTGCAGAAGAAAATATTACGTGCTGCTCACTATGCTTTTTTGGATAAGTTCTTTTTTCACACCCAATGAAGTAAAGAATACATCCATATGTATAACCAAGAGACTTTATAGACAACTCCATAGGACTCTTGATCTTCATGCCATTACTTCAGGGTATTATTATTGGCAATTACTAGAACTTAAAGTTCATATTAACTATTCTGAAAGTTACAAATTATTGTTTCAACACCGTCTCTTAATTTGTAATTTTCAAATGTTGTTTGTGCTTCTCCATCTTCTCCGCACCAAGGGGTTTGGTGAGAATATCAGCCGGTTGCTCACTTTAATTGATGAACTCAATGTTTGTTTCCCCTTTCGCCACAAGGTCTCGAATGAAGTGATGACGTAGTTCAATGTGTTTTGAGCGAGCATGAAACACGGGATTCTTTGTTAGTGAAATAGCCGACTTGTTGTCACAGAAGATTGTCGTTGCACCTTTTTGCTTAAATTGCAAATCTTCCAGCATTCTCCTAAGCCACACTCCTTCACAAGCCGCTTCAGTAATAGCAGAGTACTCGGCTTCGGTAGATGATAGTGCTACTGTTCTTTGCTTCCTTGAACACCAAGATATTGGTGATTTCCCAAGACAAAATATATATCATGTGGTACTCTTTCTATCATCAATCGAGCCAGCCCAATCGCTATCAACATAGCCAACCAAATTGCAATCGTTTTCTTTTCCATACAGAACACCGAGTTTCCTGGTTCTTTGAAGATAACGCAGAATTCTTTTTGCTGCTTCAAAATGATTTTTTCTTGGATCATTCATGTACCTGGACACCACACTAACTGCAAAAGCGATGTCTGGCCTCGTGTGAGTTAAATAGATGAGAGATCCCACTAAACTTCGAAAGAGAGAAACATCCACTTTTTCCGAGTCATTTAACTGCTGGAGTTTTTCATTTGTTGCCATAGGCGTGGACATGGGTTTGCAAGTAGCCATGTGGAATCTCTTCAAAATATCATCAACGTATTTTTCTTGTGATAGAAAATTTTTTCCTTTGCTTTGCCTTACTTGCATTCCCAAAAAATACTTCATTGTCCCCCAAATCCGTCATCTCAAATTCCATCTTCATCTTCTGCCTAAAACTCTCCAGCAATGATTCGTTAGTTCCTTAATAAATCAAATCATCAACATATAAACAAACGACAAGAAAATCACCCCCTTCTTTCTTGATGTAGAGTGAGGGCTCATTTGGACTTTTCTGAAAACTGCAGCTTGCAAAGTAGCTGTCAATTTTGTTGTTCCAGGCTCGCGGAGCTTGCTTTAGCCCATATAAAGCCTTTCGAAGTCGGTAGACTTTCTCCTCGCTCTTTTTCATGACAAATCCTTCAGGCTGCTCTACATAAACCTCTTCCTCCAATTCTCCATTTAGGAAAGCGGACTTCACATCAAATTGATAGACTTTCAATCCATAATGGGCTGCAATTGCTATAACAGTGCGAATGGTCTCCATTCTCGCCACTGGAGCAAATGTTTCATTGAAGTCGACGCCGGGCTGTTGCGAGTACCCTTTGGCAACAAGACGTGCCTTGTGTTTCTGCACTGAACCATCCTCATTAAACTTTGTTTTGTAGATCCACTTCAGCCCAACAACATCCTTCCCTTCCGGTAAATTGACAAGTTCCCACGTTCGGTTCTTTTTAATCATATCAATTTCTTCGTTCATTGCTTGTACCCAGATTTTTTCTTTTGCAGCTTCTTGAAAGTTCTGTGGTTCCTGACAGAAAAATGCAAAATTGCATGAGGAGTATATGTCCTGCAAAGGTCGTACCTTCAGAATTGGATTTTCTGAATCCGGTTCTTCATCATTTGGATTTGGTTGAGCCGAAGTTGGACTGGCAGGAGCATTCTTGCACTGAGTTGTGCACTCATTCTGTAATTGCAATGGTTCTGTAAACTGGCCAGGCTGATTTGATGGCTGTTCATGATCTGAATCATTCTTGGTCTTCCAATCCCATGCTCCACTTTCATCGAATATAACATCTCTAGAAACAGTCAGCCGATTTTCCTTTGGATCGAAAAGTCTGTACCCCTTGCTTTCATCACTGGATCGAATATGACATCTCTATGCTTCCAAATATCTTCAAATGATCGACCACCGGCTTTCTCTTATTCCACGCCTCGAACAGAGTCTTGTTTGGCACAGCTTTGGTGGGTGATCTGTTTAGCAGATAAACAGCAGTATTAACTGCTTCAGCCCAAAAATTATTTGGAAGTCCTTTCCCTGTCAACATGCTCCGAGCCATCTCAACCACAGTGCGATTTTTTCTTTCAACGACCCCATTTTTTTGTGGGGTATAACTCACAGTAAGCTGTCTCGAAATGCCATGTTCCTTGCAATGTTGTAGGAATGGAGTAGATATAAACTCACCTCCATTGTCAGTTCGGAGTGTCTTATTTGGCAGCAACTTTGATTCTCTGCCATAGCTTTGAACTTCAAAAAAGATTTGAATGCCTCTGATTTTTCTTTCAAAAAATATACCCACATCATCCTCGTGAAATCATCGACAAACAAGATAAAATATCTCTTCTCGTTGATCGATGGTGTCTTCATAGGGCCGCATATATCCGAGTGTACCAGCTCAAGTGGTGCTTTGGCTCTCCATGAGGTTTTGGGAAATGGCAATCGATGCATTTTCCCATATATACAACCTTCACATATTTTTTCTTCATGATGAACATCCGGTAATCCCAGAACCATTTTTCTTTGCTTCAAAATGCGCAGCCCTGCCATATGTAAGTGACCATATCTTAAATGCCACAAGAATGAATTTTCCACGACTTCATTCTTCAAAGCAAACTGATTGCTTGAAGGCATAGTCAACGGAACAACTTTGTTTGCAGACATCTCAACTTCAGCCACCAAGTCATTATTCTTCGTGAAAATTCTTGCCATTCCATCACCAAAAATGACCAAATAACCACTTTGTATAAGCTGCCCCACACTCAAGAGGTTTTGCGCTAGATTAGGCACATAAAGAACGTCATGAATTAATTTTTTGTTACCTCCTTTGGTAAAGACTGCAATCGTGCCCTTTCCTTCAGCCCTTTGAACATTTCCATCTCCAAGCTTTACGTGTGAAGTACAGCTCCTGCCAAGTTGCTCAAATTGGCTTTCATTACTTGTCATGCGGCTACTGCAGCCACTGTCCAGATACCATAGGTCGGATTTCTGATCTTCATCTTTTACGCTCGTGTAAAATAATGTCTTAGATTCGGCATTCTGCTCCTTCAAGAAATTTGCTTCAGTTTGCCCCTTCTTTTGATACCAACAGTCCCGTTGTGAGTGATTAGGAATTCGACACCTCCTGCACTTATGAAAGCAGTCCTTCGAATCATGATTGGACTTCTTGCAGATAATGCAATAGGGGCTGCGTGCTGGTTTTTTCTCAAGATTCTCGTCCCTGTTCTTTGGAACAAATTCTTTCTTTCGTTCTCCTCCTCGGTTGGGTTGATCGCCTCTATAAAAATTCCGTCTTTGTGGTGCATTTTGGTGAGACTTTGCTGAAACAAAAGTCTTCGATTGAAAGGCCTGCTCAAGGGACTGATTTTGAGCTCTTTCAATCCTTTGTTCGTGAGCCCGAAGCGAGCTCATCAACTCATGAAGTGACATCACAGACAAATCTTTGGATTCCTCTATGGCAGCAACACAATGGTCGAATTTAGGAGGTAAACTTCTGAGAATCTTCTCGATTACCTTCTTGCTTTGGATGGTGTCTCCAAGACTTTCAATATGATTGACAATGTCAACAGCTCTTGTAAAAAATTTACTCACATGTTCACTCTCTTTCATCGCCAAGTTGTCGAAGTCCCTCCATAGAGATTGAAGGCGAATAGAGATAACTCTGTCATTGCCATGAAACTCCTCCTTCAACACGTCCCATGCATCTTTTGCCTTCTTTTTATTGAAAATTCGTGGATAAATTGTCTTACCCACTCCTTGCTTGATGTAGCGAAGTGCAGTGCAATCCTTTTTCTTATTTTCTTTGTATTGTTTTTGTTGAGCGTTAGTCCATGCTGCAAATACACCTTCTACAGGTGGTTCTTCAAATCCATCTGCAACAATATCCCAAAGGTCATGTGAAATGAAGAAATCTTGCATTTCACTACTCCAATAATTGTAATGATCGCCTTCAAAGATTGGAACCTCACTCGGGGAATATTTAAACATGGTAGGAACAGAACTGGACATTGTTTTCAAGCTTTGATACCAAATTTGTTGGGTATGATAGATAGTAGAAGAACTTGCAGAAGAAAATATTAAGTGCTGCTCACTATGCTTTTTTTGGATAAGTTCTTTTTTCACACCCAATGATATAAGGAATACATCCATATGTATAATCAAGAGACTTTCTAGATAACTCCATAGGACTCTTGATCTTCATGCCATTACTTCAGGGTATTATTATTGGCAATTACTAGAACTTAAAGTTCATATTAACTATTTTGAAAGTTACAAATTTTTGTTTCAACATTCTCGATGTATAGGAATAAGGAAATATAAAATTATCCCAAATAGAAGTAAGTTTCCTAAGGAAAAATAAATATGGATAAATAAGATTTGCATGTAGAAGACAAATATAGGAACGTAAAATGGGACGGGTACAAAGTAAATTGTGAAATGATGTTCTATCACTGGGTATGTTCTAGGGTCCAAATTTGAAAATTTAATGCAAAGATGACCCATGAAATAGAATTTGGTTACCTTGAATTACTTGGAAGTGCTTGGCTTGGAAGTGATAAATTCGGGGAGAGAATCCATTGGTTTTTAGAGTGGACATAAATGATTTGAATGAAACATGATAGGGAATGGGAGGGTTTTTGAGCTTTCAAACTCCACTGCTAGTTACTTTGTAATATTCGAAGAATGTAGGGACTAAAATGCAAGAAATAAAATGAATGCAATAAACTATTTTAGAAAAATTTTCTAGGTCAAAAGTTCGCGAAACATTTTCACTAGGGTGGTCAAATAACGATGTTGTGAAGGTTACAATATTCTATACGGATCTACTCCTGCTCACATTGAATCATTGTTCATCCTTGAGGATGAACAATTGTCAATTGGGTGTAGGATTTGCATCTTTTACAGTTGAAAGAGTTAGTTCCTAAGTTTTCGAATCACGGATCATCGACAATCCTTAGATATACTTTTTTCAAACAAATCACATTGACTATAAACCCGTAATGATCATCTCAGGAATTTGAATGGTAGATTTTCACTGCTCCACTAGGTAGCAACTGTTTAACTATAGATGGCCCAAGTCATCATGATTTTAAGTTTTCCTATAAATAAGTGCAATATGGAATTGTAAAGTAGGACTTCTTCCCCTTCGGTGGCGGATTATTTTATCATGGTAGATAAAAGCTTGCTACTCTACATTTTTGCATTCTCTTATTGGATGAAATGGAACACATCCAAATCCGTCCCATAGTTCTTTCGCATTTCTTGAGGTAGAAGCTAAAAACTAAAAACTTCAACTACCCAAGAAAGTTTTCCAGCTCGAACGGTAGATGACGAAACTTCCCGTATACAAGGAGAAACGGCGACATCTCTCTATTGCCATATTAAATGTAGTACCATAGGCCTAATCTGTATCATCCAAATTTAGAGACCAATATTTTTTATTCTTATTAATAGTGGTTTTGAAGATATACTTCAGCTCGTGATTTCTCACTTCAACTAGGTCATTTGATTACCGGTGGTAGGGGTGGTGAGGCTATGACAAACATTGTACCTCATGATAAGTGGGGTGAATCATTGAAAAACAAAGTGGGTGCCTTTGCCTCTAATAAAGGTCCTCAGAACACCAAATCATAAGAAAATATTTTTTTGTATGGATTCTGTAACCTGAATTGCAACATCAGTGGCAAGTGTAGTTGTTTCGACTCATTTGCTTACATAATACTGCGACAAAAATATAGAAGTTCCCATGAGATTTGAGGAAAGTCATCAAAAAATCAATACCCTATACATCAAATAGATCTCCTTCCATAATCCCTTTTGTTCCATATCATCATGCATGGAAATATTCCCGAGCCGTTGGTATGGGGCGCATTTTTTGACCAAATTTTGGGCATCCTAGAGTAAGGTTGGCCAACAATATCCAGATTGACGAACTTTTATTGTTGTTCAACGGATCACAAAATGAGTACCTATGAAGGAGCCATGCCACTCATGGAGAATGTGAGGTATCTCATTAGCAGACACTCATCTACTAATAATTCCATCTTCCCCGAAATGGAGAAAGTAGGCTCCTCCCAGAAAAAATTGCAAACAAGACTGAAATCTTTTTCGAGTGTTGTAATTAAGATGAAAAAGAATTATACCACTCATAAGATAGTAGGCGAAATCCATGAACCGAGGTGTAGTAGCCTGCAAGGAAAACAATTTCTCTCCAGGAAAGTGTTTATTAATAACTGAAGCTTGTGAGTCTCGTCGGAGTCTACTAAGATGATCTACGACTAGATTGTAACTCCCTTTGCAGTTTTTGATCTCAATATCATATTCTTGCAATCAGAGGATCCAACAGATAAAACGTGGCTTGCACTCTTTCTTATCCTTTGTGCTTCTGATCAAGTTTCTAGCCAAACACAACTCCTACTGCCGCATCTCTAACATCACCCATTTATTCAAGTAGGTACTTCTAGTATGCTGCCTGAATAATTAGTGAGGAGATTAGTTTCCCCTTGAGAATTTGGAGTGCCTTATCACACTTTTATTTTTTTTTCATATAAAAATGACATCCTTTCACAGCAGTGAATTTTGTTGAACATTTTTATAAAACAGCGATAAAATCCGACATTACCAAGTAAACTCGGCCCAATCATTTTTTAATAGTAGAATTTATATGAAATTCCTGGGGAACTTTGGTAGGGTTGTTGTTGTAAGCAGCCATGATTTTCTTCTTAATATTATGCTTATGACGACATTGAGTAACGGTCGCTAATCTTTGCAAACTTTTCCGAAGCAAATTTCCTGGATATGCTACAAAAGGATAAAGTGAGTAAGAACCAGAAAGATTAACACAATAATTATCATAAAACGCGACTTTTTCACTTAAGCACATTATAAAAAATGGAGGCTCCTGAAACGGCGCCAAAATTTTTAATGGTCACCTTTTACTTAAAGTTTGGTTTATAAATTAGATTTCAGAAATGACACAAGTCTTGATGGTGATGTACAGATTTGTCATCTTGTAGCTTAAAAATTTTCATCAAATAATAAATTTTCTCATATTAACGATTCAATGGTGGGTCGAACCTAGGGCATTCAACATTAACGGAAAACTTCATTAAAAGTGCGTCTACATTTATGAAGTAGATTATTGAAATTTTAACAAATTGAAAGGTAAAATTATACCAAAGTATTGAAGTGTGGAAAGTAGTGTAAAGATGAATGGAGGTGAGTGGCTATTGAAGTGCATAGTGATGGAGGTGAGAAGATTGCCGAATGAATGTTTACGATCTCCGGTGGGTGTTTATGGGTGAAGTTGATTAATGTTTTCTGAAAAAGTGATAATTTTATAAAGATGCAAAAAGAGAAAGGGATGACCTCTGGGGATAAAAGTATTTGTGATATATGTGGTTTATGATTCAAAAAATTAGTGGGCATTAAAGGGAAGAAAGTGACTAGCTGTTACGGGGGATTTATATTTGTTTTTATGATGCCTTTAAATTGTTTTTATAATCAATAATGTAGTAACGTTTGAGTGGTAGTTTAAATATGATGTATTTGATATTATTGTTGAAATGAGAGAATTGTTTGAGAAGTTGTGCTGTTTTTTAATTTCTGAGCCAACAATTGTGGTATCAGAACAGCCACTTTGTCCCCTTTCCACGCAGAGAGATCAAGAGTGTTGCTTTTTAAAACTCCACGCAGGAGAAATCCGTCTGCAGGGTTCTCAATGGCAAGCACGAACAATTCATTTTCTCGAGCCCTAATCCCCATCTTCAAAGGCGAAAAATATCAACTTTGGAGTCTTAAAATAAAGACCTTGTTCAAATCTCAAGAACTCTGGGACATTGTTGAGAGTGGATTTGAAGATTCAACTCCTGCACCGGCGGAATCCAGTCAATAATTGAGGGAAAATCGAAAAAAAAATGCTAAGGCGCTGCTGCTCATTCAATCGGCTTTGGAAGATGATGTATTTTCCAGAATTTTGGCAGCCACGTCTTCCCAAGAGGCATCGGGGATTTTGAAGAAGGAGTACATGGGTGGAAAACAGGTACTCACTGTGAAATTACAAACCTTGCAACATCAATTTGAAACATCAGTGATGAAGCTTGACGAATCTGTCCAAGCTTTTATGTCGAGAGTTTCGTTTATAGCGAACAAAATGAAATCCTATGGTGAAAAAATTACTTCTGAAATTGTTGTAAGTAAGGTGAGTTTAACTCCAAAATTTGATCATGTGGTTGTTGTGATTGAAGAGTCAAAAGATCTTTTGATATATAGTTTTGATGAATTACTGGGTTCTTTGCTAGCTAGCACATGAATCTAGAATTACCAGGCCTCTTGATAAAGTTGAAGAGAAGGCCTTTCAAATAAAGGGGAGTCTTCTATTGAACCAAAGAAGGACAATAATTTTGAAGGTCGTGGTCGAAGACGGAGCAGGCATAATTTTTGTGGTTGAGGAAGAGGCTGAACTGATGGTTATGGTAGGGGAAATTTTGGAGATCAACGTAACTATAAAAGTAGTAATATTCAGTGTTATTACTGCAAAAAATTTGTCCAAAAAGAAGTTGATTGTTGGGCCAAAGAAAAAACAGAAAAGCAAGCCAATTTTACTGAAAAAGTGCATGAGGAGAGTAAGTTGTTTATGATTCATTCAGCACCTATTAACAATGTCAATAATATTTGGTTTGTTGATAGTGGTTGCTCGAATCATCTGTCAAGTTCCAAGTCTCTATTTCGTAATCTTGATGAGACGCAGAAAAGTGAAGTGCGACTTGGAAATAACAAGCAAGTTCAAGTTGACGGGCGAGGTACAGTTACTATTAAATCTTTGCAAGGTGACACTAAGCTTATTCATGATGTCCAGTATGTGCCTAATTTATCTCATAATCTTTTAAGTGTTGGACAACTAATGAAAAATGGTTTTTTGGTCGTGTTTGAAGGAGATTTTTTTGAAATTAAAGACAAAAATTCAGGTCATACCATTGCTTCTATTCGTATGACACCAAACAAAATGTTTCATCTTGATGTGTCGAGTGATGTAAAGAATGTTTTAATTGTCAAAGATGATAATGAAGCTAAATTATGGCACTTACGATATGCACACTTGAATATAAATGGCTTAAGGCTTTTAAGCAAAAAAGAAATGGTTATTAGCTTGCCGAAAATTGGTGAACTTGAATTTTGTGAATGTTGTGTTTTTGGAAAACAGAAAAGAGGATCTTTTCTAGTTGGGAAGTCTTGAAGAGGTTCAAATTATCTTGATCTGGTACATGTTGATTTATGTGGGCCTATGCAAGTTTATTCATTTGGTGGAAGTTGATACTTTTTGCTCTTTATTGATGATTGTAGCCGTATGAGTTGGGTTTATTTTTTAAAATCTAAATCTGAAGCATTTGAAAACTTCAGAAAGTTTAAAGCTTTTGTTGAGAAGCAAAGTGGTAGGAGTTTGAAAGCATTGCGGACTGACCAAGAAGGTGAATTCTTGTCTAACGAATTCACTAGTTTTTGTGATGAGAATGAGATTCGCAAGGAGTTGACAACCCTGTATACACTGGAACAAAATGGTGTTGCAGAGAGAAAAAACAAAACAGTAGTTGAAATGGGCTAGAAGCTTGATGAAAGCTAAGGGTCTTGCGTATGAGTTTTGGGAGAAGTTGTTGCAACGGCTGTTTATCTCTTGAATATTTCTCCCACAAAAGATGTTTTTAATCGGACTCCGTTTGAAGCATGGAGTGGAAAGAAGCCTCGGGTAATCCATTTGAAAATTTTTGGATGTATAGCATATGCTTTGGTAAATCTTCGTTCGAAGCTTGATGATAAATTTGAAAAATGCATTTTTATTTGATATAGTCCACAATCCAAAGCATATCGTCTATATAATCCTTTGAGTGGTAAAGTGATAATAAGCAGGACTGTCTTGTTCAATTAAGAGACAACAATGAAGTGGAAAGTTGATAAGGATTTTGTTCCAAGTCATGTAACTTCAATATTAGAAGAAGACCAGCAGTGGTAGTTCAGAAGTTTCCGCAAGTTCTGAAAATTTTAGATTCGGATTCTAATGAAACTCCACCGAGAAACTTTTGGTCTTTGAGTGATCTTTATAACTCATGTGATTTTTCTTTGATTGTTACAAATCCATCTACTTTTGAAGAAGCTGCAAAATATTCTTATTGGCATGCTATGATGGAAGAGATGTATGCTATTGAAAAAAACTCAACATGGGAGTTAGTTGAAGCTCCTACGAATAAGAATATTGTGGGCTTTAAATGGGTGTTTCGGACGAAGTATCATGTTGATTGGAACATTCAAAAGCATAAAGTTCGGCTTGTGGCGAAAGGATCACTACAAGAAAAATTCATTTTTGTAACAAAATATTTGTGTCTCTAAATCTACTTTTTCCGTTACTAATGATATTAGAGACGGAATTAGGAATGAAATTACGTTAGCTGCGTGAACTTTAGGGACAGAATTCCGTTACAAATATATTATTTTTTTGTAGTGGATACTCCCAGAAGAAGGTATTCATTACGATGAGACCTTCTCTCCGGTTGAACGGTTTGAAATAGTTAGGTTGTGTTCTATTGTAGGTTTTACAAATGTTTTTACTATTCATATTCTTTTTTCCCTTAAAAAATAACAAATCAAACAATTACTTTCTTTATTTATATTATATTATAAATTTATTTTAAATTCAAAACATCACATCAATACCTATTTATATAACATCAAACAACTATTCAAATTAACTTTTTACTATTCAAAAATCCAAACCCAAAATCCCAAATCCACAAACAAACACACCTTTTATATTGGCTTTAGTTGTTCAATTACAACTGGAGACTTATTAGAGGAAGTTTTTGTGTGTTTGTTTCTCAACCACAAGGCTTTATTGTGCATGGAAATGAAAATAAAGTATATCGGCTAAAAAAAGCGTTGTATGGGCTAAAGCAAGCACCCCGTGCATGGTATAACAAGATTGATTTTTTCTTTCTTGAACATGGATTTACAAAAAGCGAAAATAAGCCCACTCATTACATAAAAAGGCAAGATATTGGAAATTTCTTATTAGTTTGTCTTTACGTTGATGACCTTATTTATTTTGGATCATCGAAGTCCATTGTGAATGAATTTAAATCATGCACGATGAGGAAGTTTGAAATATCTGATTTTGAGTGTTCGACGTATTTTTTGGGGCAAATAGAATATCATCACTACCATCGGATTTTGACTCAATGTAATCACTATCTGAATCGGAGACATCATGAGTATCTATCCCCTCCCCTGGATCCACAAACATTACAAATTCCCCATTATTTTCCCCTACCTGTTCGATTGCTACTTGCCTAAGATTCTTATCTTCCACAATCAAACTAGACCTCCCATCTTTAAAACCATAAAATCTAGCCTATTATTTTTTGAAACACCACAACTGAATGTATACTTAAGTAGACAAGATATGTCAAGAGAGTTTACTTCGGTGGGGTCAAACGAGGTCTTCTTGCCCCCATGTATTTTGCTGTAGGGGTTATGAACATCTGGCCTCCATAACATAAAGTCACTGTCACTTTGGTGTGTGTAAGTGGCCCATCGCCTACAACATCGCAAGAATATCTTAAAATAACATGAAATGACACTATATTAAATTGTAAAGCTTCACGATTAGGACCACAATAGAAAACTATTATATTTCAGTATTATTATAACCGAAAGCGACAAAAATTACACAATCAATGTCATGCCATGAAAAGCACAAACAAAGCTATGAACCACACAAATTTTAAAACTCATCTAACTTTAAAATATCAAAGCAAAAAAGACGAACATTACCGATTTGTGTGGTCATTTCCCGTGATAGCTAAATTCGGAAATCTCACACTAGAACTTGCTTGCGAAAAAATGGTGAAATGTAAGGCTTTCTTTATGTGTTTCACTACCTTACGGCGAATGGCATGACAGTGAACGACGATCGTGTACAGAAGCGGGGATCGACGGAGAGAATTAGGGTTCTTTAAGGAATTGAGAAATAAAATAAGAAATAGTTTATTTTTGTGGTTGGAATGGATGGATGTATTGATCATGGGAGGAGTGGTTGATGTGGTAAATTTGCTGTTTTTTGTAATTTGGCCCGATTGGACCAAATTGACTTATTTGCAATTTCGTCCAATCGGGCCAAATTGCAAAAAACAACAAATACTAAATTCAATTTTTTAATTTTTAATTTTTAATTTTTTAAATTTCCACCACGTCACTTGCCGACGATGACCACATCATCTGACATATCAGCACCGGCGAGTTACACGTCCGCAACGGCCAGTCCACGTCTGCACACATGACCGGCGAAAGAGTTACTGTCCTACTTTGAGAAATTGAAAAATACATGTCTGGACAATTTTTGCAATTTTCCCTATTATCTTTTTTCATAAAATATCACATCAAAATATTATTTAAATAAAAATTTTAATCAAATATTTTATGTTATATCAATTTCAAACCACAACCAAACCATACAAACTATAAAATGTACGTCTGCGAAAGTTCTTATAATACCTAATAAATGTCATTACAAAAAGTTTTAATGTGAGTTTGTATGCGGAGTTTTTAGTTGTGTTCACTATTTTAAATTTTTTCATTAAAAATATATTAAATTAAATACTTATTTTTTTTTAGGTAAAATTATTTATAGCTCTCCCGTAGTTTCGAAATTCAGTGTAAAATCTCTCTATACTTTAAAAATTGTATAGCGCCTCCTTGTACTTTAAAAAATGTTGTATAAAACTCAACCGCCATCAAACTTCCCTTGTGTAATAAGAAGATGATTTCTATCTATATTTTCTGTATGATGTGGAGGTTTCATGCAATATTTTTTAAAATATAAGGGGTCGCTATACAATTTTTAAAAGTAAAGATGAGATTTACGCTGAATTTCGAAATTACAGGGGATTTCATGCAATATTTTTTAAATTATAGAGGGTATCATGTAATTTTTAAAATAAAAGGAAAACTTACAACGAGTCTCGAAACCACAAAAAAATTATTAACAATTTTTTTATTTTTTTATTGTATTATATTTAAATATAATTTTATATTTAAAATATCATATCAAATAATTATTTTATTTCAAAATTTTATTATTTAATATTCAAACCTAAACCTAAAATCCCATAAATAAACTCAATAAATTTTTGCAAATTAAAATAAAGTTCTACAAATTAGTTTCTTTTTATTTTTGCAAATTAAAATAAAGTTCTACAAATTAGTTTCTTTTTTATTGTAGGATCCTTCATGATCAATCCACTCATTTTAAACTCCTTTTTTGTTAAATAATCATAATAAAAATAATAATAATAATATTTTACGCTCTTGAGTGCGAATGAGATGTGGAGCTCTATGAATGTGTTTATGTAAATTTGAGTTTTTGTTTTGAAATTGATAATAATGAAAAGTTATATTTTAATGAAGAAATATATATATATATTTTTTATAAGTATAGAAAATTGTATAAATAATATAATAATAATAAATATGAATAATATATTAATTTATTTGAAAATATATATATTTTTTACAAAACAAATAAACTCTTAATATTTAACTAAAAATAATTTTATAATAATATCTTTTCGTCCTACATTTTGTATTTATATTTTTGTTTTAAGCTGTCTCAAATCTTATGTCTTAATATTTTTATAAATTTGTTACACTTTAATCATATATTTTTTATTTTCTAATCTAAATTTTTTATTTTATTTTAATTAGGCTAATTAATTATTTAAACTTTCGTCTATATTTATTATATTATATTATAATTATGTTTAGTAATATATATTATAATTATTTATTAATTATTCTTTTTTTTAAAGCTACAATGCACCGGACATTATATTATTTAATTTGATTTTAAAAATTAGAGATGTAAATTATT